GCGTAATAACTTGAGTAGCATTCAAATACTAAATGTGTATTAAACAATGTGAGACTTCAAAATTTTATTGCAAAAGACTCAAAACTTTCTACAAAAGAAATTGCAAAAATGTGTGTTTGCAAAAGTTTTGCAAAAGTTTAGGTCCTTTTTTGGCGAGCTTTCGGCGCTTAGCGCCTTTGTCGAGCCTGAAATGTAACAATTACCAAGCCTTGTTAGTCTGTGAAGCAGGAACTCTAAAAGAGCTAGAAAGTTTCAGAGTCTTTTGCAATAAAATTTTGAAGTCTCACATTGTTTAATACACATTTAGATCGACATGAGACTTCGGGACAGAACAATTCTAAAGCACAAGAGTCAAAGTTTATCCAAGTAAACTGGTAGTATGATATATGGGTCGAAAAGAGCTTTTTACAGATCACGCTGTATGGTCAAAATCTGGACGTAGGCTCAAGTGTGCAGGTGCAAATTGGAAACGTTCCTTGCAATGATGTCCTGGTGAGCACACTCTCTTCTAGATTTACTGCAGAAATCGTTTTGAAAGTATTTTTCTGGTGATTTTATCGTTCCCAACATTCATCCACATTCAGCGCAACTCAAGCTCATCGCTATCTTGTGTCATCTCCCGCGCAACCGCACCATCAAAACTGGCCGAAGTCATCGTATCCATCGACAACGCCACTATGAAGGTGCCAGGATCGTTTGAGTTTCGCCCCGATCCGACCGTGGCGTCCGTCTACCCGCTTGTCAGCTTTAAATCCGGTGGAAGAATGGTTACAGTTGAGGTGGGCGGTTCAGTCCCTATTCATAGGATCTCTAAATTTAACAAATGAATGATATGTGGTGGGTCTTTAGGGTACGAATTTCGATGCGGTGCTGACGGCCCGTATGTTCTTTGTGTCGTCCACTTCACCTCCGTTTGAGATCGTCTCGAAGCTGTCCAATTGCCAGATCCAGAACGCAACATTCATGTTCTGCCTCACACCGCAGTTGCTTGCTGGACCACACTCCAGGTCATCCTACTCGAAGGTTTGTGAATTAGTCATCCGAATTTGAGTGATCGAATTATTGTGAGATTTGTGAAAATAAGGTTCCGTAGCGATTAGGGTGCCCCTCCCCTTTCGTGTGGCGAACATCCTTCATGGCAACAGACGCTTAGTATGTCCTAGGCCACTTCTCTTAGCAGAGGTCAACTGGGAACTGCTGATTCCATGGAACGCTTCCTTACGCTAAGTATGTACGAGGCTAAATTTCTTGGCTTAGAAGGCTGTAAAGGATTAGTGCACCAGTGAGAAGCTAGGGTAGAATGGCGAGCAGGCTCATATCCTCGGCATAGCTAAAACCGTTCTGTAGTTTAGATCTGCGCTCCAGACACCACGTCCGCCCCGTACACACGCAATCAGCTTCACAACTTCCTGAAACAATCCCGGAACAGCTCTTTATCCGTCAACTACGACGGCTGTTGGTATTTTTTAAACCCCAATTGAACGGTGGGTATCACAGATTAGCTTGACGACTTAGCGTCGCTTATCGTGATACATTCCCGATTTCAAACTTCTGCGCGAAATGAGCAGGCCGTCTGTCTACCTACTGCGTCGCTAATACGCCTGCGGGCCCGTTCGGCAAAAAATAGAAGTACTTCGAGTGTAAGTGGAAATGGCCCACCTAAGTTCTATTGACAGTCCGGCGAAGTGAATGCTCTAAATAGCAACTACGATCCCGTGAGAGGCAAATGCATGCGCGTACTGAATTAGCTCACGCTGAATTCTTATAATTTGCATGTCCTGAGACATCCAAAGATATTCGTAATTATTTTATGGCTTTCAATAGTATCATGGGCAGTACCAAGTAGTTTTCTTCTCTTTCTCTTGATATCCTTTCCACTTCATCAGTCTCAAGTGAGATTTGTCTAAGCGCTTAAAGGAAGTAGGTACGGAAAGGAATTTTCACATCTGCGGAGAACCTGCTCCCCACAGAGCAATTAGCAGGCCGCCAAGGAAGCGATGTGTGGCGCTTCCACTGCGAACAGTGCTGTGGTTGCTGAGCAGGACCATTGCGCCCTTCCGCCCCATGCGCCGCCCCGCCCACTGGTTTTGTTGGATAACTCGATTGCTGTTGGCTTTTTTCAATGTTATGATCTTTTTCCTTAAGTCTATTCGGCGTATCTTCATCTTGCCCGATTGTTGATGTCCTATCAATTCGTATTACTATCTATCGTGTGTGTGCATATGGGCAGCGTGTATCCGGTTAACACGTCGCGCACAACCCATCTTGTCTACCGTCGACGCATTGCCATGGAGTGCAAAATGAAAGGGCAATCAAAGGGGCACTATTTTGCTTATTTTTGACGGATTTCTTTGCTTTTTTCGCCACTGATGTACTATTGAGGACCCCCTCGTCCCCTCCAAACCACATTTAAACCTAGCGTAACCGCTGCCTTTAATAAAATAATGTATTGAAAATAGCGCCGTTTTGTGGGCTTGACACTGCCGGAAACGCTTATGTTCCATGTTACGCCAGCTGGATGATTCATAGGGCTATGGTCCGCGTTTCTCCCCAAGCTGACCACACATTATTTTTTTTTTTTGCTAGACTTTGAACTTCTCTGGAGCTGCTCGTCAATAAAAAATCGGATAGCCCTTCCAGATTTCCTTTGGGATTTGCGATGGACAATGTGACGTTGGTTCGTAATCTCGGTCATCGGATTCAGATGCGAATCGTTCCCGATCCCCAATTCGCTCCTTTCAAAGGTGAGCTAGTTCTGTCATCTTTGCGTCTCCATAAGCACTCATTTGCCTACGTCATTTGCCAAAAGGCGGTTCACGTAAGTGCATGCAAATTTGCGTTGCAAATTTGCAAAGGAAATAGGGCAGCCCGTGGTGGCTAATTTGTGGCACGCATTACCGGTCGCAAATGGAATGTTCTTTTTGTGGGAAAATGCTTACTGAACTGATTAGCGGAGGACCAGAAAAAGGGACATGCATGCCTAGTTTTTGGATAACCTAACACACCAAATAAGGCAGGAGAGTTTTTGAGGCCTGTTTCGTGGAACTTTTGGTGGCCAATAAACTTGACGTGTCCCCAAAGAATGTGGGCCAAAGAAGTCCTGCCGCTTAATTGCAGTTGCACGTAAACAAATCGGTTGGCAGACCAGCTCGCCATGAAGTACATGTAGAAGCAGATCTATCTCTACAGCTAGGCTGAGCAGCTCGAGCTTATCACAGTTGCGTGTATTGTCAGGAGGTTCGAAGCAGGCCGCCCAATCGGGAGCTACTGGTTCCGACGACACCGTCGTGCCACACGCCACAATAACGATGGATTAGGACGTAAAGAGCTACTTCAGGATACCCCACGGGTTTAATTAGTGACGGCCATGGGAGCAAGCAAATGTCACTACACTTTCGGGAGCGCCCTAATCATTTGAAGGGGAGACAGGGAGTAGAGGACGTATCATGGAACGCTGGCCGTGCAATGACTATTAAGAGCGGGTCTGTCACGTACGATGAGATAAGCGGGAGCATCTCAAGGCAACCTAGTCCCCTCTTTTTCATCAGCCATTAAGTTACGGCAATATCCGGTACAGCGGAAATCCTCACTTTCCTCCGCAGATCGTCTCAAAATCGTTATGAATTCAGCTATCACTGCAGTGATCAGGAGTAAAATGAAAGTATTGCTCGTTCCACAAAGATCGTCGATCATTACACTCATTGTATGAACTGAGCAGAAATATTGCCATAAGATGCATTGTCAACTTTGTCTAGGAATTTTGAAAATTTAATTTTAGTTTTAAAAATTTAAGATTTCCAATCGATTGATAAGTTACTTGTACAGCTATGTACTACACAGCATTCGCTTCAGGAATCCGCATACATCAAGGAGATCAGCCTCTGATCCTTGACGGAAGTCACCTGAACGAGGCCGCTGAACCTCAGGACTACAAGGTATAATTAAAGAAACTTAAGAACTATAGAATGCTCACATTACTTGTTTTTTTTCTAGATTTTCGTCGGTTCGGAGAGATGCTATGTGACTTTGGTCGACTCGAGGCAGTTGGTGTGTAATGGACCTACAGCTCAACCGGAGCCCACGGATGAACGTGGTAAGGTTCAGTGGATATACTCGATTAGATTGAAGAAATAATCTCTTTGCAAACAGTGTAATAACTGGGTCCGCAAATGCAGAGCGTTGCCTCATTCTTGACTCGAAAACCTGTGAAAAGAACGCAGGGCGAGGGTGCGACCACCCATCAGTTGAAACTGTTTGCGTCTGCGTCTCGGTCGTTTACCGCGCTCTTTTATCTCGCCACCCAATTTTTCTTCCTCGTAGGCTTCCTCCACCCAAAGAGAAGGCCCTTACGCTTTCAAAGTTTTTCCTTTTTTCCTCTCAATCAGCGATCCACTTCGCACCACCCATTTATTCTGGAGGTCAATAAGTACTTATTCAGCCGTGGGAAGTGTCTTTAAAGCCACGGGTCGGGGTGAGGTAGCAAGGAGAGAGTCCTTCCCAGAGTGAGGAAGAGGGGTCCCAAGCCTTCAAGCTGCGACACTGCTGCGACAAAAATGCGCGGCAAGGCACAAAAGGCCTTCTCTGTTGTGCCATCCTTACAAATCGCGACAGGCATGGCGTTGCGCACTCTCGCGTACGACGTATTTTCTCGCGTTTTCCCTCTCCTCGCAGCGCTGTGTCTCTCCGTCATACTACGGCCGACCTCACAAGGGAAATTTCAGTGTTTTCTATGGTGCTTTTGCTTTTTCTTTCACCCTTGTTCCTCATCGCATTACTAGTCTAACTTTCGAACAAAACAACACAACAGTCCGATCCATTTGCGTGGAGCTTAGGACTTCGGCTATTCCTACATTTCAAGGTCAACCGATTGTCGGTGGTCTACCACTGGTCTCCGTTACCGTTGGACGACTTCGAACAGAGCTGGGGCTCATCGAATATGTGGATCCAATTGCCACTCTTCGCCTATGGGTTCTGGTTAGTTTTATTACCAGCTTGTCCTAACTGCATGACCTCGGTGTTCTTCAACTCCTATATTTCCAGGTTGTGACAGCCCTTGCAGCGTTGTGCTCCTTGTTAGTGCTGCTCGCGTTCCTTTGGAAGAAACGTCGAGCGGAACGCGAACGCGACTACAGGAAAATACAGATGCAAATGGAGCATCTTGAGAGCAACGTGCGGAAAGAGTGCAAGCAGGTGAGAGTGAATCTCTGCAATTCATCGAGCTCTTTCAATACGAAATTTGAAATGAGCACGTTTCAGGCTTTCGCTGAGCTGCAAACCTCTATGGAAAGCTGTGGAGACGATGACTATGAAGGTATGTTTACCTCTGACCCGCTTCTTTTCTGAAACAAAGGAAGGGAGGTGGCGCCTGCCATTCGAGGGATGCACGCGTCGGATACGGACCTTCCATCTTTTAGTAATTTAGTGGTGCTTATCATATTCATGGAGCAAAGATCTAATTCTAACAAGATCTCAATAATGACAAGGATAAGCTAGGATACAAGATCTTATATCCATTGAAATGAACATAACGTAGCAGTATAATTACTAAAGGTCAAAGTTAACCGGCGGTTGTAAAATTTCACAATTCTACAGCCTTATTCCATCTAACACTAGGGGTGGTCACCTCAAATTGTCATTTCCCAGGCCGAAAACCTTCCATCAGGCGTACCTTTTTCACGGTTAGGGCAGGTCTTGCATATTTACGTTATAGCAAATCCAATTGCTTTCCGAGCTCTCGGGCGTCCTTCAGACGCTCAATAGCAAAACTCGTAACTAAGGCATAAAAGGCATAATCGGCAACACTTCTCCACTGATTGACTTGTTTATATTTACCTCAGCTTCTCGTTGATGTTATAGTTTTATTGCGTATTTTCCTTTCTAACGTTGTCTTACACAGCGTATTGAATAAATAAATAAATAAATAAATAAAGTAAATAAATAAATTCGTTGCGTGGGCATAGACCCCCCTCTGGGATTGCCTCTTTAGTCTCTTATGGAAGTGCAAGATTCAGCTCTTTGTCCCAAGCCATTAGACGGCCTACTACCTATGGTCATGTGGTTTTTTTTGTTTTCAAGGATCACGCACGACATAGGTTTTGAAAGAGTTAAGGAATTCATTATCAAGATAGCTGTCAGCCAGCTCATAGGGTTGGAATATATGAGATACAGAATTTTCGAGAAAGTTTGAAAGAATTCCTATAACTTTGCCTGACCAAAAAAAAAATTAAAAACATCTGAAGGATAGGCAATTTTTCAGGTACCGATGTCACAACGTTACTCGAGTTTATACACCGTCTTTTGTGGGAGGATAATGGCTGGACACATTCACCGTCACTCTATGCGTCCACTCTGCCAGTTACTCTAGCCCAGTTTGATGCCTTACTAAGCTGTAAACAGTTTGTGTTTTCGGTAAGTAATTGGTCTGGTTTGGGTCTTCATAGTTTATGCTCTGGTCGAAGCTGGCATATTCACCATTTCAAACGATTCGGAATTCGCAATAGCATAGGCGCGGGGTCATTCAGCTCAAATATCGAGCAGTGGGAGTCATGACTTGTTTGCGAAGAAGAGGGAGGGAGACCGCAAGAACATCAGAAAAATGGTTAACCCATTTTATAATGGCAGTTTAACGAAACAAAGGAACGAGTAGGATGGCAGCAAAAAGTCAGTTGCACTCCAAGAAGAGGGCGGCGGGTAAGCGAGCGAGAGCATTAAGGGCCACAGCAAGCGCAGAACATTCATCCATGCGTTCGCAACAGCAGGAGTTCTTTCTTGCTCGTGGTACAATTCCGTAACTCACATCGTGTTTGTCAGCCGCTTGAGTCACGAAAGCAGTACTTTTCCGTTTTACGGACCTTGTTCACGAAAAGAATTGTTCAAACTATCCTAATCGCGAAATGTACTCCCTCGAGCTTCACAAGAATGTTGGGTTATGGGCAAAACTCTGCGCCCGCGAAAAAATCGTTTACTGGGTGCACCTCTCTTTCTCCTGCAGAATATGTTATCCCTTTGGACCATCGTCCGCTTACTTATCGCGGCTTCAAGTCACCAAAAACATCGAGGTAACGCGTTTAGCGGCCCAGAAATCCAGAAAAAATATCCTCAAACTTCGTTATTGCTACGAATTTGGAGAGGAAGTTGTGACAGCAGCATTTTTTTGATTGCTGTTAAATCTTTCTACCATTCAGATCGTGGAAACGGCGGAGTCAGAATCGGGTATGTCATTGAGCGAGAGGTCGATGCTCTCCTCACTGTTGATCGCCGTACTGTTACGCAACTTCCAGTACTGTACCGATGTCGTGTTATCGCTTCTGAGGGCTCATATCGCCAAAAGTGTTCATGTCAGTCTTATCATTATTGTTATTTTGTTATTTTTCCAGGATTTTCCACTACTCTGATAACCATTCTATTTTTTTAAATGATGGATAGTAAGCTGTTTCCTTCTTTTACGAATAGCTTTTCACAAAAAATGGTGTCTCGAATCCACTGGGTTTACAGACTCGTTTACCTGAGCAGAGTAACGGAGTGGTGGAATTGTGAGCTAAGGTAAGTTCTGCCTAGCCAACCAACTGTTGGCCCCTCCTGATCATTTGGTACTGGAACACTTTGTAGAATAAGACATGGGGAGTGTCTCGACATCGACTGACTCTTTCGAGTCGTTGTATCACCAGAATCGCACTCATATATACCGACGATTTCCAGTAGTGCTTGTCGTCGCCTATATCGTGATTCACATCCCTCGACGCTATGGCGATGTTCTAGTTCAACGCCCCTCCTCAACGATATGGGGTCATATGGACTGTAGGGAAGTAGAGTGTGTGCTCTCGGCTGGGATGTGGGCTTTCTCATTACGATATATTATATAATCATTCCTTGCTCCGGTACTAAAAAAATTCCACGATAAGGTCGGATGTCGAAGAAGGAGAAAGTAGCAGTGGAAAGACAGGCAAACTCCTAAGGGTGCGGACCGACACAAAATTCGCAGCGAAGGATATGCCCCGGCGATCTAGCATGGCCATTCCGCGCCGCTATCGACGCGGCACGCCCACCGACTGGCTAACTACTCGCCGCAGGACGTTCAGTAGAGGGAGCTTTAACGTTGAAGGAGCAACACTGCCGATGGGCAGGGAAGGGTCCCATCTTGGGTCCTATTCTTCTTATTGGTTTTTTCTTCATCCCTGCATCACTGATTCCCTGTACCTTGATCTACTGGGCTGCCTTCTAATTGTCTAATTGTCTGTCATAACATTGTCTTTATGTTCCTCGCAGTGTTACTTGTTTGTTTGCCGCACAAAAGTAACAACCCGCTGGACTCCCTGCACAGAGGTCGATTGCATGGCGCATTTCACAAATCTTGAAGCATAAGGCACAGCATTCAACTAATGAACCCTTTGTGATATGTGCCACGCATTATATTACGTACAATAGGATTGGTTGTGGCGTTTGAATGCGATTTGACCTATGTAAAGACTTTCCGAGCCGGCCAGGCCTGTACGGCGTGTCCTAACCAGGATTCGATTCCCGTGTGTTGTGATCACCACCGCCTCTCACCGTATGAGGTAAGCAAACCAGCCCTTTTGGCGTTTCTGCTGGGGCCGTATGCTGAATGTTGGGGAGGGGATGGGGTCCCCGAGGTCGACGGACTACTTCAACTCGGTCGGTACGGTAGGAGAGTGATGACGAAGTGGTGCAGCTAGGTCCAGCAGCTCCGCCAAAAGGGCTGGTTTGCTTACCCCAGGACTAAGCCTTGAAGAGTGGCGAGAGAGCAGGTCCGTCCTCTCTTTAAGGCTTAGTCCTGAGGTAAGCATCAAATGAGGCGATTTTAGACGTGGGGCGAGTTGAGGTAGTCATCGACCGTCGGGGGCCCCATCCCATCTCCAACACTCAGCATACGGCCCAGCAGAAACGCCAAAAGGGCTGGTTTGCATACGTCTCACCGTATCCCTTCAGCCCAAGAGAGATTATTCAACGGCAAATATACCCCTTTTCCTGGCTTTTCATCAATATTTGTAGTTATGAATTTTGGAAATTCTTCGAATGTCTGCGATTTCTATAAATTGTAGGCCGGCACTAGTGATATGCTGTTTCGCAAAAGCGACAGCGTTGTGGAGAAAATGGTGTCGAAATGGTTGGCGATTTGTCTCTATGATTCGATATCCCAATATCAAGCACATAAGTACAGCACTTTATTCAAGGTCGGTAATTTTATCATTTGCTGGTTAATGACTGGCCTGCAGTTGCTGCTTTCAGGCCTTAAAATACCAAACTGAAAGAGGTCCTGTGGATGCTGTCACTGGAAATGCTCGATACACGATTAATGAGGCAAAACTGCTGCGGAGACGTCGACCCTTCTTCTCAGTGGTAACATTCGATCCATAGTTAGAATAATTCCTTGAAATTTCATTTTCGCTTTGAAAACTGCTTTCTTCCAGACTGCCTGTGATGACACTTGAAACGTTGCGTCCTTCAACCTGTGCGAGCCATTGCCCTGTGACACGATCTTTCAGCTTGAGCAAAGATTTCTCAGATCACATCTATAAACGAACCCTCATAGTCCCGACCGAGAACGAGCGGGTAATTGAGTCGTTTGGGTGGCGTTTCCTCAATATACTTTACAAATGATTAAAGAAAATTCCAACAAAAAAAGGATGGCGAAAGGCGGAGAAAATTATTTATTGTGGCGACAGCAAACTTCCTGAGGGTCCGACTGACCCGCAATTTGCAAAATTTGAATCAGCATGGTCCAACATCTTGCGCAAGTTGGCGCAACCACCGCCTCGACTGTCCTCATCCACTTCGTCGCAGGCTATTCACGGGAACTGATTAATGCAGCAGAGCGTGTAGCGTAAGCCAACGATGAAGTCGCTCAGTGTCGAAATCAACGGGCAAGGAAGGGGTCCCATTTCTCGGATTCTGGGCCGTTTCTCATGGTTTTTCCTTTTTATTGTACCTTTCACCACTCTTAACTTAGTTTGAAGTAAGTTATTTTTTTATCGTGAACTCTGCCTTTAAGTTACTGGTCGGTTTCGATTTGGGTGTATTGAAGTGAATTTCTCAAATGTTTACAAGTCATTCAGTGACGTTCACAGTTTATTGCTATATGCGATTTGACGATCCTTCATCTTTCACATTTTGGGCGCCATTCTGCGCGGACTAAGTATACAATGTAGCCTAACTTTCTGCAGACATAGGAATCACCAGCAGGTTCTTTAACGCATTGTGAATCCTAACTCTGAAATCTGTTAGGCGAAGAGCTGCAGTGAAAAGAAGCTGAAACTAAATTCTACACATACTGCATTCCAATAGAGAAAAATACTACACTCTCCAAAAACGGTGTTTAGTAACGAGAAAGGTCGCGATGATTTAAACGATTACGAGTGGTCCACTACACGTCATCTGCGGAAAGGCTACCATAAGTAATAGCCTGAGTGGATATTGCGGACGAACCCGTATCCCCATGGGGGATCGATACGGAAAGGTGAGGAAGGTAACGGCGCTGTTCATAACGTGCACCATCCATGAAAAATCGATTGAAACGCACAATATCAGCCCTGGACGGACCGTTGCACCCCTTTCACTCGGAGCTGGTGGCTATGCCAAGGGACGGCGTCAAAGTCCTCACGCGTGAACTGAATTAGGTCACCGCGCGAGACATCGCCTGCGTTTTTGCAGTTGGAAACATGACAATGTATCAAGTTTTGGGCCCGCCTCTTCAGGCGATCGATACAATCCTTTTTTGTTCCGTCTGTATAGTCCCCATTTCAGCACGTTGTTTTATTCTAAGATTTGATGCTCCCACGCAAGGTAGCCACGTTTTAAACTGTACAGGACCTGCGCACCGGTGCCCGCCGCGTGCGGTGACACCTACTCGCGTGCGCTCGCGGCTTCGCGACCTCCTGTCATCCCATTCCGCGATGTGAGAGCACCCGTTGTTTCATCCGCGCCTATTACGCCACGCCCCAAGAACTGCCAACCGTCTCATTGGTACTGGTGCGTCGACTGCAGCCCTTGTATCCCATTACATTAAGCAGCAACTAGGGTAAATACTGAAGCCCGCCGAAGATGTTTCACCTCTCACCGACGATGTCCTTTTCTGCAAATGAGTTAATCCTTGTATTTAGCGTAAACAAATTTGATCCGGAACAATTTTCCCAGAGCCTGATTAATTTCAGAGTTACTAGTGCCCAACACCTAGACGGTTAATTGATGTCACTGTCAGGACCATGTCCCTTCATCGAAGAAAGGTCCCTACAAACTCACCTACTCCTGTCTCACTAGGCATCTCCAACCAATTCGTATCGGATGGTTCCACAGAGAGTTCAACAGGTTATCGAGGTAGGTTCTTCTGCATGAATAGCCTATAAAAGGTAATGTTGACCTGCTGCAGACTCGTTGGCCGATTCTGGTAAGTCGTCATGGTCGTCGTTGGATCGGTCGTCTCCTGTCTATCCGCCGAGTCGTTTCTGCCACTTGTCCAGTCCATCGCGAACGCTGACAATGGAAAAACGAAAGAAAATCGACGAAAGTATCCCGAAATCAATTCCAGAAGTGTACCTCACCCGTCTTCTAACCAGGTAATCATTGGCAATATCTTCGAATTTTTTTTGATCGATTCCGCATCTTCGCAAACACCAAACTTCTTTCCCACTTTACGTTTTGGAGCTCATTAAAGGGCAAGTTACGGTGGAGGGCACAATTGGCCAGTATAGTGAAAGAAAATAATGCAGTGGAATGATGGAGAACCTGACATCAACCAGTCTCGGGAGATCTTGGGATAGGCCACGCATTTCGCTACATCTCAGACCATAATAGTATTTGAGCACTTGGTTGACCTGTGGATAGTTGGTAGCAGCTATGCGGTGAGCATTCTGTCCTCTGTTTAGTACCCCGTGACGAATTGACCTCGTTGACCAGCCTTGGAGGGATAAAAGGTTCGGTGAGAATGAGCGGATTTCACAATTGACCAATTCCTGAAGTAGGGAAAGCTCGACAGATCTTCAGATTCGATTAGAGATTGGATGCCCTGACGGTGCGCGTAAAAAAGTGGCGCCATTTATCACTGCGCCACCTTCGCCCTTTCTGATAGAAGGATAGAAAAAATTGAAACAATAGAAAACTTGAAAATTCAACCCTTAGGTTTTAATGAACATTTATGGCCTTTTCGGAAATTTATCTTCATCCTATGGGTGATTAGTGTTGCTCATTTTGCAAATGTCATTATTTTACAAGCACTTGAGTGGATTTCCGTATTGATTTTCAAGACATTTCTTTGCAGTAAAGGTACCGTGCAGAAGTATATCGAAGATTTTCTGGAATCAATAATGTTCCTCGAATGCTCTACATATCCGCCGATACTGAAACGTGTCTTCGACTTATTGGAGGAGGAAGCAACTCGAAACAGGGTGAGCATTCTTGCAGGACGACTGGAGTGTGGAAAGCATAATATTTTCCGCTATAGAGAGGACAATATCCATGCAGGCATGAAGTCGAAAAAATAATTTATCTAGGCTGAGAGACAGAGCACCCATAAGGGTGCGCTCTAACACGCAATTCGCATCGAATGATATGCCTCCTCGCGATCTAACATGGCCTTCTCTTTGGCGCAGTTGGCGGGAACGCCCACCGACTATCTAATCACTCGCCGCAGGTCTATACGTGGCGAGTGATTAGATAGCAGAGAGAGCGTAGTGTTGAAGAGGGCACAGCGATGAGAGTCGCATCAATGCGCAAATCAACGGGCAAGGAAGGGGTCCCATTTCTCGGGTTCGGGCCGTTTCACATGGTTTCTTCCTTCATCCTGCTCCACTGACTACTTCTACCCTTATTTCCGATGAGCTTACTTTTCATTATCCTGCTTTTAAGCATTTTTCCATGTCGGGTTATTGGAGGGCATGTCCCACATTGGCTCACACCCACAACAAAAGAGACCTTGCTAAGATTTTATAGGCGTTCACTTGTGAAGCATACCACGCTGTGGTAAATTGAGGAGACTATGACTGAATTTACTCATATCTTAGACTTTATTCTGCAAGAGTACTCCATATTTGAGCGGTCAAAAATAAGCTTCTAATAGGGAGGTAAATTCTTTCGAGGATGTCCCGCACATCCAGCTTCTGTTCAGAATTTAAAAGCACGGGTCGAGATCAAATGGTGTGTATTTTATTCGAAAAATATTTATTATATGCAATAAGGAACGTCAACGGCGAGGAAAGCAAAAAGCATTATAGAGAGCGTTGTCCTTGTTGTAGTCTATAATGGAGAGACACAGTGCTGCGAGGAGAGGGAGAATGCGAGAGTGTACGCTGTATGAGAGAGGGCGCTGAAACTACGTATTTCGCCATATGGTAAGGGTGACAGCACGGCAGCGCGTCAAGGCAAGGCCTGACCACCATTGCCTCCCATTTGTGGTCGCGTCCACTCTCTACCTCACTTAGGAGAGATGATTCTAGCACCTAATCCCGCCCGAATTTAAAGTGATATTTGATCATCTTTCAAATTTCGAGTCATCAGTGAAGCTAGTACGATTTATAGTAGAAAGAAAAACCATTATAAACAAAAAATAATAGATACGGTTCGTTTCGCTCCTTCCTCAGACGAACCTTATTATTTCGTCAATCCCCGGAGCTCATCAGTGAGTTGGGATTGGCGAAATAAAGACACAGGGGAAAGACGAATAAACCTTGATGTGACGTACTTTCATGCAGAGGAGCATGCAATGAAATGAATTGTATATTGACTAAATGAATGAAAAAATAAGTGGGTGTTTGTAATTGTTCCACTAACAATTAGATAGCACTTTAGTGACGAAGTATTCCTTCCACTAACTTACTAATATTTTTATAATTATTAGCAATTGAAAATTTGTAACATATAAACTTATTTTTATAAATGCACTTAACTATATTAGTTATAATAAAGTTCTCATGGTAACCATTTCCTAGTAACACTCTTATGAATTCTGTTAGTTTATCAGTAAAGGTGTCAAAAACGGAACAAGTGTTAGCTATTCTAAGTGTTTCAGTGTATATGACGGAGCCTTTATTGTTTATGGAGATATTTGTGTCATTGTGTGGGAATCTGATGACCTTGAACTGAAAATCATCTGTTTTGTTATACAATCTAGTTACAACTCTGTCATTTATTATACTAATTGTTAGATCCAGATAATTACTAGATGTATTCACTGAATATGAATGTTTTTGGTGTCATATATACAGTGGGGCAAAATTACTGGTGCACCAATATTTTGCTGGCATTTCGAGACTAGCTTTCAGAAATCGATTCTAATCACGAATATTATTTGTAGAAAAGATGACAATTCAAAACGTATTAACAGTTCTCAAAATGATCGCCTCTAGCCTTTACACAGTTCTCTGAGCATTTGGCATACGCATGCCATGTGGCACGCAGGTATTTTTCATCAATTTTGTCCCAGGATTCCAAAAGCGCCGTCATGAGAAGGTTCAAATTTCGGTAATTGATAGGGCAGACTTTTTCCATACTTGGAAATATATCGGTCTTTCCGAAGAATTGGAGAACCATTCGTCATAATTGGTGGAGTTGAGGGTTTGCTCGGTGCACTGTTTCTGGACCATTCACGGTCAGTGTCCTGAAGCAAACCCTCCGGTGAATTCACCCGTAATCATCTCCAAAGTAAAGACACGCCCATGGTTTTAACAGATATCGAGTTTGAACTATTTGAACAAAATCTGGGGTTTTGAGCATGTGTGAAAAATCGTCGAAGAACGGGAAAATATGAATCCGTTCGCATAGCGCTCTGGTTGATTGGTGCATTTCACAAAGTGGAAGGCTTAACCAATTTGTGTTCAGGGCGTATTAGTAGCAGAGTGTTCAAGCTACATACCATGAAAGAATTAGACAAGAAAGTGTACAACAAGATTCAAAAAAATCCATTATATTTAGGTGCACCAGTAATTTTGCCCCACCCTGTAACGAGTACTACAAGTGAGCCTGAATTTGTGAGTTTTGGCTAGTTCCCGCGATTTCGGTCTAAGTCTTAATCTCACCGTCAGAAGAGCGCGTTACTACGAGATAATAGCGTTACTTCCGAATGAGGTGAAACATCAAGCTCGGTACCTTGCCGCGTAGTAAGGATATCCCTAGTTTTCCACACTACTTCCGCCATTCCCTCCTCTGATACTACCTTTTTACCCTTTTAAAACCTTCCAATCTCTCGATCAGATTCCCCCCCCAAATAAATACAAGAATAGCAGACGGGAGAGAGACAGCGAAATTTTCAAAACATGCTCAAAAACTTTTCTAAGACTCCCGAAAAACTCACTCTTCCCAGAGATGATCAGTTCCCTTAAAGGCACAACCCAGGCAGAGGTCGTGTGAACGCTTCCCTTCGGTCTGTAGTATAGACCCTGAGGACAATCACAAATGTGGCGTTCCCGTGCACGGAAACCAACCGACAAGAGCGCTTGGGCCTTGCAAAGTAAGCTGCTGAAGCTGCAGATTTTTTCTCTTATCAGGCTGTTGTCTGGCGCTCTCTCATCTGTAGCGCTCTCTCGCATACTCTCCTCTCCGCGCTTAGTCTCTCATTCCCTTAGCACAGCCGATTAGGAAGGTGAGTGAGCCCTTAACCTAAGCGTTTTCGACGGATTCTTTTCCTTTTTTCTTTACTGCCGGCCCATTTCGTACCAATACATTCGTGTGCAAAAGCCACACTGATAAGAGCGCATTCAACTCAACCACTTTGAATCACATAAGTTTGATCCGTCCTTCAATATAATTTGCCGAAAAATCGGCTTGTCAACTCTGCCAAAACCAGAAGATCCACGCATCAAAATACCTTAATAACTGTCAATGGTTGACGTTGTGTAGCCTTTTTGGGTTCTTTATTGCGCAATCGCTGTTTTGAGCGCTAGATTCCGTTTCGAATTCAAACAGACGTATTTGTCCCTGTGAATTGCATGGAAAATTCAATGTTTTTCAGGTGAGCGATCATCGATTAGTTCAACAATGGAAATCAAATCTGTACATTCTGCGGGTATGGGTGCATCTGATCAAAAACCCAAAAATTCTTCTCGATGTGTCGGAATCCATCAGTCAAGACGGCAACTTATCCGTCGTCGCTCAAACGCTGGTTCGTTACAAATATCTGCGTCAAAACCTTATGTCGAAATTTAATCACTTAAAATTCAGATGGATTGTTTCTCTTTCTCTGAGCAATCCCTGGGAGCACATTCACCCAGTTCTCGCTTGTTATTCGCAAAGGTTTGTTGAACAGTTTACAGGTTGCTATCATTTTGTGATGCTTTCCGAGAAATCGACTTCAATTTTTTCATATTTTTAATTTCTAGGAGGTAGCCCGCCTTCGACCGCTGTCCTCGGATCTTTTCCGCAGAATACGGAGACAACCGCCAGTTTCCGATGAGGTGTTCGTCGACTGCCTTAACGATGTTGCGAATGTTAGTGGAAGAATTTTCCTATTATCAAATGGATTTATTTATTTGCCTATCTGCATTTTTTCCCGCACGAATGGAAAACTCAACTGTCTCCAATGTTCAGAGTCTACGGGATTGCACAAGGTCAACAGTGGCTCTTTCTGAACTGCTTACCTGGGTACGAGGGAATGGTGTCCGTTTGATTGAGGTCAGTTTTAGGTTGTTTTCAAACTTTGAGACACTTTAAACGACATTTCGATTTTCGAAGTGATATATTAGGGGTAATAGTGGAGCAGAGTGAGCAAACGTCAAGGACTCCTCGATAGGAAGGCCATATTTTCCTGCCACGATGGGGAACAGCAGGTGCTCTTTTGTGAATCATTAGGTTAATAGCAGAGGGTTTTTGGGCTTAATAGAATGCAACGTTTTTGTATTGGAGATTGTTGGTCATTTATAAAATTTTCTGTTCATTTTCTTTAAGGTTAAGAGTGTAACTGCGTTGGGCGGGTGAGGAGCTGAGGCCAGGCGGCGTAGTAAAAATATTCTCCAAGCCATTGGTTGATCGCTGGTGGTCGATTTAATAGGTAGTTTGTGGTGTCAGTCTGTGGGGTAAAGGCCAGAGGTTAATGGTGGGGGATGGGGTTTGGTTTCGAATTCGACTGTGCCTTTTTCTTCATAATTTTTTTCCGCTTGCAGTCGTAAATTGCTGATACATTTCGGCCTCAGGTTTACTCTTTACTGTTAGGCAGATGCATGGAGTATTACAGTGTGGTTTAATCAGTATTGACCCTATTCCTGACATATGTTATGTTCCCCTTTTACTTTTTATTACAGTCTTGTTTGGCAACGAATTCTCGAAATCCGTCTACTTCTTATTATCTAACCAGTTTTAGCTCGGACCTTGCCTATCGCGCGCATGACACGGGATTATAGGCTTGCTAGAATGAAATCAGTGTGTGAGCTTCGGGTTTCGCTTGTTTTTAACTTATAGCTTGTTCGTTGCATTACTGTCCGTTGCCCATTTTGGCTGTATCTCACTGTTTGATAAGCGCAGTGAAGTGCACAGCTGAAGTGATGTATGTATGTAAACAACCACCATGCATCGAGTATCGAGGTAATTTAGCGGTCGAATAATTTTTGGTAATCGGATTAGGAAAATCATGTCAGGTATTTTACTATCAAATTATTAGGAGCTTTTTTCACTTCAAAGTACTTAGAAGTGTTTTGTAGCGTTGAAAGGTGTTTGATTTACAATTTGAACGTGATGAGAGTGATATTGAATTTAAAGGTTTTGCTCATATGGGTTTCGAGTGATCTATTCGATTCGATTAGCATATCTAATTTTCGTATCATCAGTATTATATTTGGGACTCACAAATATGTTGTTCGTTCTTTCACCCCTATATCATATCAAAAAATCAGCTCTTAACGAAGTGCTGCGACGGTGCTATGAATTTCGTGACACACGCACGCACACACAAACAGACAGACATAAGCGTTTTATATATAGTAGGGATATCCACTACCTCGGCCATAAGAGCTTGTTTATTTTCACTTTTCGACTTGCAGGTGCTCGCTGCTGACGACGTCTGCACAGTTACCGATTTACCATCGGTTATCTAGGCTTATCAATTGTGCTAGACCCGAACGAATAGATCTCTGTCACATTCCCGAAGCATAGGTTCTCGAGAATGTTCGTGCTACAACAACATCTGTCAGGGTCATTTGAATGTACCATATCATAATCACGTGTACGAGTAAGGGTTGAATCCCTAGGAATGCTACTGTGAAATTAGTGTTCTAGCTATACTGATTTTCTCTGTCTATGGATTGGGGGCTTGTGTTAAGTCGGATTTTCCGTCTGAGAGCCTTAGTGCTTTCCTTATTCGTCAACCCCTTGAATGCTGTGTCTGCAGCGCTTTATCTAGTCTTTCACTTGCCTGCCGAGTTTATTTTCTCCTCATTCCGGATTTTGTTCAGATTCTACGTATGTAAATGAATATGTGATGCATATGTTTGTCTCATCGTATTATTCGAAAAATCTCAAAGCAGTAGAGAGGGAGTATTTGGTTATCACTTGATGGACAGTTGAAATATATCAAAAACTGCTAATAGATACAGGTTATGCAGTTGTCAAAAGTAAATATTGTCATGAACCGTCGTTCATGATGTCACTTAAGCCCCGCCCTCAGCGGATAAGAGGAGCGCGGCCGACGGTGTCGGAGAGCGCCTTCAGGCTGAATACACGCTCGTGAGGCGTGAGCCCCTCCGCGCTAACTCGGTAACGGCGATTACTCACCGATTCAGCCATCAGGCCTTGTTACGTCAAAATCTTGGCCGGACGACTCGGAAGGCTAGAGTCCTCTGTTCCCGCTACGGTGAAGAGTTCGGGTAAACAGGACGGTTGGCGAACTCGCTTGGGACGTTGTCACTTACAAGTTCAAGAAATTCAAGGTCCTTAACGACATTCAAAGTTCAAACCTTAAACTCAAATTCCCTGCTCTAAGCTCGGTTATGTAACATAGTTGCGATTTAGGTTTGTTGGTACGATTGTGGAATTTATGAATAAATAAGTACATGAAGAGTTGATGAATTCAAGAGAACCACACAAACTTATATTTGGGAGTGATGCCCCAAAACATGGCGCATCGGCCGAACCTATAAATCTGCACTAAACAACATCATCTCGATTGAGCTCAATCATTTCAATATTAAATACTCATTATATAAAAAGACATGATCGCCGTGAAAGCCCGATTCTTGCTCAAATTAGATATCTGTGGACAGCAAATCTGTCGAATAAACACAATTTGTGCAAAAAGAATCACTAAAACTTCAGAAGCGAAAATTTTCGACGCACGTGCACAATATTCAATAAGGTGCGCTTTTAGGGCCCAAATAGCGCATCTCGGTCAGTACCCTCGCACGTGAGGTCTAAAATTTCGCGATCTCATTAATTTCCCTTTTTTTCCCAATTTCTCATTAATTTCAAGCATTCAAGTCGACTATATTTACCGTGGACACAACACTAACGATGAGAAGGTAACTCGAAAGAAATCCCGGTGGCAGTCCGATAGTCTGGCCTAGGAATGAGGTACCTTACAATTTTAATTTAAGCCGGCAGTTTCTGTATGTATAGTCTTTTCTTTGCAACGATTAGGAAAGGTATCATTTGCTTGTTTGCTTGTGTGATACATTTTATGAGATAAGCTCATGTAATATTCGGAAGGACGACCAATATTCGCATCAACTCGAAGAATCATTTGGATGGAACTTCAAAGGAACTCATCAGCTTTCTACGGAATAATCTCTTCTAACAACGAAAGGAAGTGAGTTCTATAATCGTACTACGTTTCTCTCTTGAACTCAACCGAAACGACTCTTATATCGTGAAACTCCTTTTCAATTTCGTCGTAGGACTCGCAGTATCTCTTTTCCCTCTGCGCAGAAAATTCCTAAACAAGGTGCAAGTCTTGTAATTCAGACAGAAATATTTTAGATCAATAAAAAACAAACACTTCAAAAATCTCCAGCATATACATATTCTGACGATGAATCAGTGAAAATCTCCAAACATGAAAGGCATGTTGAATATTCAAAGCAGAATGGCGTCTACATCACACTGTCAAACATTTCATCTCAGCTACTAAATGACGACAAACCAAACAAAACTCCAACAAAAAGAAAATTATTCAGCTGATCAAAAGAATTATAGGGGGGGCATAGCTGAACATATACCGACAGTCAGGCATTCCTCTCCGTGCCGACAGTCTTCGCCGATAGGCATTCACACCCACCGTGCACCAAGAGAGTCAGTGCCTCCAAATCCAGCTTGGGAATGTTACAGCAGGCATTCGTCCTAAAGAATGCTCAGCAAAGATTAACTAGACAACTCCAATGCTCTGATGAGCTTAGTGCAGAAGCGAACGCGTTTGAGGCACCATGGACTTTCCCACTCAAGCACAGACGCTAGGTGTTTTCTTAATTTCAAAAAGCATGATTATTAAAAATTTGATGTCAAAGATGCAACAACGGCCGAGAAGACATCGTGGCATATTACGCCGAGTGCAATAGCAAAATCCACGATCTTGCTCAAGAATCAAAGTATACATAGAAAGTTAGTTAGGATGAATACTAGTTCTGAATAAGTGTGACTAACTGTCAGTGAGGAATGAAACGTCAATCAAAATGAGGTTGGTAGAACTTCAAGAAGAACGAGTTGAAAACATAGCTTACAGGGAGGGAGACAAGGGATTCAGCACCTCATCCTCAAGCTCTCAAGAACACTTCAAATATACCGAGACGGGCGAGTCTATAAAGAGCAATCAACACTTAAAAGTCAATAGAAGATCAAGAAGGGTGACCCTGCAAATATACGAAACCCAGTCAATGAAATGTCAAGATGACATAAGCACACTAAGAACAAACTAAATGATATTCAATGCTATTACATTGCAACCTGAGAAACAAGATGAGAAGCTGTAACAACTCCAAACATGAATAATTACTGTGAAATTTCTCAAAATAATGTCAAGAGAAAATGGCAGAAAATTAGAAACTCAGGACACATATAGCATGACAGATCTCACGGAACTGACAGTATCCTATAAGCGTAAGGACATGTGAAGCATAAGAGAGATTATCAATGCAAACGCCAATTTTTCCACACTAAGTAAACGACATGCACTGGTGTCGTCTGCACGTCTGCGGCAAGCCACATAATTTCAGACTGTGAATAATTACAACGCAGTGCAGCAAGAATAGGCTCCTAACGAACGACTGCCTGTTGGACAGTGTTCACCTAAACACGTACTACAAGTCGTGTAAACAGATTGTGTACACAGTGCGACGGCTCCATATATTTAACCTTTGTCGTCAAATCACAACTCACAGAACCCCATTCCAAAGATCCATCAATACAACTTTCAATTCCACGAGAACTGGACAACATTTAACCAGCCGAGCCGAACAACGTCTTCAACGAGTTCATAAACAGAACTACTCACACAGAATAAGACAATTTGCAATCAATACAATTAATTCTATCCAACGAACCCCCCACGGTCACGACTAGCTTCTCGAGACAATATCGAGAACCTCTTTCAGAACAGCCCCACCTAGACTTCCCCCTCACCTTCAAGAACTCCGGAACGTCAAGTCCGGTTCAGTCCATCTCCCCGATTACGGAAGAGATCCTCCGAGAATGTCACAGTAACTTACAAATTCGAGACCGTATATCGGGAAAAAACGATAACGATCAATTTACAACCGCCTTCGCTAGTAGCAATAATGTACGGCTAATGATAGTTCCAGTTCAATTACAACCTATACAAGGCCAAGACAAAGAGACAGTGTTCGCTATCCTAGATTCGGCCTCTGATCAATCCTTTATTTCAACATCTCTCGCACAGAGGATGAAATTGAAAATTCAAAGCGAAACCACCGTTGTGGTGAACACTTTCGGAGGAAGGGCGGAAAAAAGAAAGGTGAAACGAGTAATCACTCATCTCTATAACGCGGAAGGAGATTTCATCAAAGCTGAACTACTCACAAATGATAAAATCACACCTCCTCTTCAAGTGGGGTCGGTGCTTCCCTCAAGACGTCGCCTTCATTCAAGACAATTTCGCTGGACAGAAGAACTGCACCTGCAAACTATCTCACAGACAATCGATGGCACAGTAGTACCAGAAATACTAATTGGAATGGACTACTTTAATGCCATAATGAAATTACAACGAACCCGTTATTCGACTCCCATCGGGATTCTTCCTCACGCCGACTTTCTTCGGGCCGGTTATATCAGGTGTTCCACACAGCACAGCCCAAGGCCCTGAAGTAAGCAGTCTCAGCAGTCAACTCGTTCACTCATGCACAGTGCTCGATTCAAATAAAAACGATATGGACATGACACTCTTATGGAAACTCA